TGGGGCCAGAAAAAAAAAAAAAGAAGAGCTTCTTTTTCTCGGAAACGTGCATGTTTTTTTTCTTTTTTTTTTTCGTTTGTTTGGTTTTGTTGTGTTTTTTGGTTCACCCTCACAGATAGACGAGGAAAACGTAACATGACGCAATCAAAGAGCTTCCCGCATCTGTGCCTGTGGCCTTAAAGTGAATTCTAAGGCGTTTCCAACACACAGTCTACGGCCAAGGGTCACAAACCCATAACCACCTGGAGGTCGGAGCTCTGCCTTTCAATCACTCGTGTTTTGACGGATCAATCCGGTTTCCGTATCGGTGAACGTTGGAGGTTTCGCCTGGGTCAGATATGCCACCAGCTAAAATCTCTATTGCGTCTTCTGGCCAGGACCATTTCCTCCCCCTTCCACCATCATCACCACCACCATCAACACCATGTCAGATCAAGAACTGTCAAGGACTTAACCAAACCCATTTTTTTCAGTTGTTTTGTGTCATTTTGGGGCAGGCGATGAAGTCATGAACGGTGATGTTTGAAATCAGGTCATTTTACAGTGTGCTAACGGGAGATCTCCCCACTTGGAGGCATGTTCATATTTTGTGTTTTTCGTACAAAAATCATCGCGATTCTAGTAAACCCCAGCGGAAGGTCTGTCGCACGCCAAGGGCCGAGTGAAGGTTCAATCTTCCATAAACTTCAAGAAAAGGTTAATCGTGAATACTGAATTGAGGAAAGTGCAATTTTGTTGGGTAGATGTTGGATTGTTAAATATCTTTGTAAGATAGATCGTTGAAGCGATTCTTGAAAAGTATATATAAATATATATATATTTTTCTTCCTAGTCCATTCACACCTCCAGGACTCTAAAATATCGGGGTACAAAAAAGAAAAAAAAACACGTAAAGAGAAAAATAGAACAAATAGCCTTGTGAGAAATAAGGGGAGCTGTAATTGATTTTTCTGTTGTTGTTTTTTATGTGTTTGTTTGTTCATCTTTTGTTAAAATTGTAGAACAAATATCCCTTTAAGAAATATCAACGTTTAAACAATCAATTTAGTTTCCAAAACGCTACAGCAATTATTTTAATTTAACCGAGCACATAATGAAATACATACTGTAAGAAAAATAGCCATTTGCGAAATCATGAAAGTAAAAATTGACTGTTTCAATTCATTTGAACGCGAACGCAAGAGGCGAAATACTGAACTAACTTCCTCGCAGGCACTTTCGAAAGTGTCGCGCAAAAATGTGAATATCAAAAAATGCATCCAGCTTCTCTCGCATGCAATTTTTGTTGTTTTTTTTTAGTTTACGTCTTCGTTCATTTCCTGTACGAAACATATATATATATATAAATATATACACTTACAGTCTCATCCACCGTCGATCAAAGCTCAGTAAAGTTTTTCAAAAAATGTAAGAAAATAATCTGCATGTTCTAGTGTTAGTGACAAATTTTTACATAGATTACGTAGAGTTAAAGTAGTGTGGAAAAATATTGTAATCCCAACATCGGGCACTTGCCGATCAAGTATTTGTTTGGTCCTTTAAAAAAGGGTATTTTTACTGCTGTTCTCACAATCAACCAGCTAAACATCTCTCTGACTCTTCTTAGCTTGTCGTCATTTCTATAAAGTCTCCCTTCCTCCTTTATTCCCGTCAGAACAATCATTTTCATATGTACACACTTCATCGTCCCTTTCAAACTGCACGAACAATTCCCCATCGATGTGCCTTGAGCGATGGTCTAGTTCTGAGTTATTGCACAAGCTGCAATGTGGAGACTATTTTTTACCTTTTCACCCCACCTTCCACATGTAGTCAATTTGGAGAGAGTGAAATTAGTGCTAATTGATAATACACAGTATTACTCTCCATTTAACTACATATCGCCACTTTCGGTTATCCATTGCTTCGAAAACCCCATGGTTTACACTTCAGTCAGTCGAAAGTCAATCATTCGCCCAAGAAAAAGCGTAATATGAAGGTTTTTATGTCATCAAGACCTTTTTCTCTGATTTAACAGTAGTGTATGGATATTTATGGATGTTGCTGCAATTTCTAAATGACGACTACTTTTTCTTTTCAGTCTTCCTTTTTTTTTCGTTCCCAGAGATGAATAATGATAATAATGAGATTAATATGCAATACTTGCTTGCACTCATGTACACTTTTTTTTTTTCTTTTCTTTTATATATTTTTTACAACCAGTGAGCACTTGACAGGTCAAGTGGCTGAACGTCAGTGTGTTTTTCATGCACATGACACGAGAAAACGCCATTGATCAGCCTCACTTGGGTTTCACACAACCAGTCATCAGTGTTTTCGCATACTTTGTGTTTTTTTCGGTCATAATCAAGCCTTAAAAACGAGGAAACTTCCTTTCCATCATAAACACGCAAGAGCGAACACGTCCAGGACAAAATATATGCCCAGTTTTTGTACATTTTGACAAAGTTCCATATTATATTAATTGTTTACCGGTTTATTTTCTATTGCATATATCATATAAGGGAAAAAAAATGATGGGGACGAATTTCCCAGGCATATGATGTGATGGTTTAGTAGTTACACTTGTGTGTGTGTGTGTGTGTGTGTTTTTTATTTTGTATTTTTTTGTCATTGTTCTTGCCTACCCTTTAGAAATGAGTTGGGCATTACTTTCTTAATCATCTGCACTAAATATAAAATAATGACAATTGTGATAATTGAGAAAAAAAAAACAGAAAAAAAAGCTTCCAGGGCTTCAAAGAGCGAAGGGAAACACGATTGCACGGATATTTTTTTGTCACAGAAACCTTGTTTAGAGCAGCCTGGCATCTAATCAGCGAGATTGGCTGTGTGTGTAAGATAATGACAAAATTGCACCCTTTTTAAAGAAAGAAAAAAAAGAGAAAAAGAATTTCAAGCAATAGTTTGGGCAGTCTGTTTTGTTCTCGTGTTGTGTGTGTAATTTAGTTTTTTGGTACAACATTGGAGAAGACGAACAAGCCGAATCGATTAGATACGAGAGTTAGGGCGGACGCACCGTATGGGAGATTTGATGTTTGTATATTGTATAGTTTTATTAATTACACTGATTTTAAAGCTGCCCTATTTTATAATGCAGGACTTTTGTAACATTGATTAAATGAGGAAAAACTAGTGTTGTGAATTTTCTGATTGTTTGTATTAAGGCCACAAAAATAGAACTGGTTTTGTTTGTCCTCTGGGGAACTGGATTTAAGTTGAAAACTTCCCATTTCCCTTTTTTTTTTTTTGCTTTTTGCTTTTTGCTTTCCTTTTTGTATGTATTTAAGGACTTATTTCTTCTTTCGATGGTATAGAAGTATTCCTATACTTGAAAAGTGTAGGATGCTGAGGTGAAAACCCCATTGTAAATGGATGTTACAAGTATGCTGTATGTTTTGAAGGTTATTTGTTGCATCAGTGTTGATGAAGCTAAATCTAGATAATTCTGAGGATGTTGGTAAGAAGAGAGCGTTTTTATGCATTTTAAAATTAGTTTTAGGCAGAAGACAATGACATAGACAGCCAAAGGATGCCCCTATTATAAATGCATCTAGGCATCTTTTTGTGTTCACCATTCCATGCAGGAAAATAAACCGCTTGATATGCAACATGATTCTTTTTTCTTTTCAACTTCTTCATCTTTCTTCCACCGCCCACCAGCACACACAAAGACACTTGAGCGACGTTAAATGACGGGAAGGTCAGTCGCGATGGGCCGTCGATAAAGCCATTCCTTACTCGATTCTACATTTCATGAAAAAGCAAGGCCCTCAGGTCCCATAACTCACACGAAGATCGCTTGATGGTGGTTTAAAACACTGAAAAGACATGCAATTACACAAAAAAAGGAAGAATTTTGACTTTTGTTGAGGATAAATGGACGATGTTCAAACATAAAGACATTTTGTGTCCTGCAATTTCGTGTTTTACAAAAAAGAATTCAAATTTCCCATCCCATTTTGTCACTTTTCGGTTTGGTTTAGGTTACGCTGTCTTGTTTTTTTTCACACAGATTACATAAAATATTACAAATAATTTTTTGCCTTTTTAAAAAAAAATCTGAACAAACATTCTACAGTGACCCTTTTAGTGATATTTTAAAGGGAGAGTTCACCCAAAAAATGAACATTGTCATCATTTACCCTCAAGTTGTTCCAAACATGTATGAGTTTGTTTCTTCTGTAGATGGTAAAAAATGTTAACGGTAGCCATTGACTTCCATAGTATATAAAAAAAATAAATACTATGTAAGTCAATGGCTACCGTCAACGGTTCATAAATGATGACCGAATTTTCATTTTTGGGTGAACTATCCCTTAAATATTTTCCCTTGAAGAATAACATCAATTTCATGCTAGTCCTGAAACAGGGTTGAATAAAGGTCCCGCAGACCTTTATCATTTTTACGTCCCCATTTTTGTGTGCCTTCTTGTTATATCGCTTATATTCATTTGAGACGGGAACAAAGCATTGGATGGTTTAAGGCAGAAATACGGCTTGTATCAGGGTAAAATTTAATCGTGAGACATTTTAAAGTCTAAAAAACCAAAAACACAATAAGTGAATCAAGTATACGTCCATTCACTGCAATGGAGAACTACAGATTTGACTACAGGTACACATTTTTCGTTACGCTAAACAAACTCATATTTCACTTTCGCGGGTAGATCTGCAGAACAGGACCCGATGAGGACCTTAAAGGGCCTGGGTTGACCTTCAGGGGCCCCTCGTATGAATAAACGTGTTGTCCGCTTCATCATACCATGGCTTTAACCCCATCATGCACCAGTGGCGGGTGGCTTGACTGCACCAAACGGTATCATTACAAGGTGCTAAATCTTGCTGATAAAATGGAGGCTAACTGGAAACGACCCTGCTTTCTGATAGCATAGCAGTGTAATCCGCATGAGAACTATGCACTGACGACACGCTAATCTAATCAGAGTCTGG